TTCTTCTTCTGTATTTCCATTTTCCTTACTGAAATGCTTTTATGATGATGAAAGGCATTTGCTAGATTAGATTGATGATTGATCATCTTAATTTAGGATCTCCAGCATTGTTGAAGTGATGTTAGGATTGTAGGATTGCCCTTTGTTATTGACATTCCTTCATATTTGCTTATTTAGCTAGCATGCTTTGGCTGATCTCTTGTTTTTAATGTATTCTGATTACTTTCTGGATGCTTCAAATTCTTTTTTTTTGTTCTCATTGTTCTCTCTGTCTTCACCTTCCTTTGCAGACTTCTAAGAAGAAGAAAAGCAGTGATCTCAAATATGACGTATTGGGATGGGTGATCCTTGCTGTAGGGATTGTTGCATGGGTAGGATTTGCAAAATCTCATGTGCCGCCTCCTCCACCAGCTCAATAAGTGGAGAATTTAGCACACCTTGTGCATTTTGGAGATACAAACAGTTTCTAGACTCTGTAGGTGATGATTGTAGAAACGTGAAAATCTTATGTCGTTCACCATATGTTGTTTAATTTTTTTTATCATTATCATTATTATTATTATTATTGTTTTTCTTCCCTATGGCAAATGATTCATAAGTTACGGTTATAGTTTCATATGAAACAGTGATTCTATATTTTTGATGTTGTTAAGAAGCTCTCTTCTAGACTAGATACATTGCAATAATGTGGCATTATAGAAAATTCACCCAGAATCAATTTGACTCCAGGTGTTCTCAAGATAATTGACTAATTGTATCTGAATCTATATATAGACAGACATCATGCAGACTGATGGTGTTAATTTGTTAAAGCTATATATCTACAGATTTCTTGCAAGAGATGTTATTCATATTTCCTCTGTTGGATAACTCGGTTAAAGTGAATGTGTGTGGTTAGTGTTACGGAAAGAATAATTGGAGTGGATATATAATGGCATATGCTCTTTCATACATATACTGCTGTGCTATCTCCTGTGTCAGGTGGCATGTTTGCGGGGGCGCTGCGTTGGGTGATGGGCTGAATGGCAGATAGCTTGTTGGGAAAATGTTGTCAAATGAAAATATGAAAGTGCTCATTCTGGAAAGAATTTTTTTTAAAGAAAAAAATTAAATTTTTTTTAGGGTTTTTTTTAATAGGCACAATTTATTAGTGTAATTATTGCATATTTCTAATACTAATACTAAAAAATAAAAATTAGCCTTTATTTAAATAAATGTCAAATTAAAAGGATCTGCATAGCACTAAGATGATGAATTACGTTGGATGGTTGGTCAAGAAGATGAAGGATAAGCTTTACGTGTAGACGATCTTATCCGTACAGCACCTTAAACCCTTTGCTTCTTGAGAGACTTGCAGCGCTTTTAGTCCTTTTGCACTCAAGGGTGGATCATCAGTCCTGCTTGCACTTCTGTTTTAGTTCCTCGTGGAAGACTCGTCAACTATACAAAAAAAATTGACAGACAGCCCTCTTTCTTTGACTTACAGGGCTGCAAAAACATAGTCTAAAATTTGGGCTTTATGTGGGCTTAGTCTATCAACCTGAATGACCATTTCTTCACACCGGAGGAGTAGGCCTAACCCAATAGGGTTTGGGCAATTTTTGGTTTTTCTTAGATGGGTTTGAGGTTAATTTTGTAATTATACGTTGTCTTGGGTTGGATAATGAATGAGAAAGGTATGTTGGGTTTGTTTTAGCCACAAAATAAGGTTTTGTCAAAGG